TTGTGCAGTAGCCAAACTGCTCGCTCACAACTTTAATGCCAGTAGCTCACAAAGTAGAATTTTTGCTCACAGGGCTCCACAGCTTAGAGGGAACATTGCCCAGGAGACAACATCAGGGGAAGGCCTCGACCTCTATGCCCTGTTGTTGGCTGTACAGAGGAACTGGTTGGCCACTGAGTGAGACAGGATGCTGGACTAGGTGGACCCTCACTGGTCTGATCCAGCAGAGCTCTTTTTATATTTTTATGTTGGCCCTGGTTAGTACTTGGATAAGAGACCACCAAAGGAGCCCATAGGGGCAGGCAAGAGCAAATCACCCTGTTTGTCTCTGGAGAGCCAGTTTGGTGTAGTGATTAGGAGTGCGGTCTCTGATCTGGAAGAATCAGGTTTGATTCCCCACTCCTCCACATGCAGCCACCTGGGCGACCTTGGATCAGTCACAGTTCTTTCAGAGCTGTTCTCTCAAGAGCAGTTCTCGAGAGAGCTCTCTCAGCCCCACCTACCTCACAGGGTGTCTGTTCTGGGGAGGGGAAGGGAAAGGAGATTGGAAGCCGCTCTGAGACTCTTTTAGGTAGTGAAGGGCGGGGGGTATAAATCCAACCTCTTCTTCTTCTTGCTTTGAAAACCCTATGGGGGTAATCATAAGTCGTCTGTGACTTGACAGTACTTTCCACCACAGCCAGCTGATTTTTTACGGGCTGTTTGTGTCTCTTTGTGGACCCATTTGCAGCCATTTGGCAGGTTGATTCAAGGCATCTCTTCCTAACAGTGTGCCGTACAATGCGATCAGCTTTCTGCGCATGCCTGCTCTCACACAGCCCGATGGAGTTCTGCTCCCCGCACCCGTCCTTGCCACATCGCTGCTTTGCTCGGCAGGCCATTGTTTAAACAGACAGTTAAATTAATAACAAATCATATAAATCTGTCATCATCGCTGTTTTAAAGTAATCTTGTTATCTGGCATTCATCAGCAACACTAACAGCTGCCGATCTGTGGGTGCTGGCAGCATTATCACACACGCGCCGTTTTGAAAACAACAACAACAACGACAACAACAATGCAATCCTATCTGGCAGATGTTCATGGTATTTCCTCACTGGGGCAAATGGAAAGAGAGCCAGTATGGTGCAGTGGTAAAGAGTGTTGGGGTAGTAACTGGGAGATCCAGGTTTGAATCCCCCCTCGTGCCATGAAAACTTGCTGGGTAAAGTAGGGCCAGTCACACCCTTTCAGCCTAACTTACCTCACAGGCTTCTTGTGAAGCTAAAATGGAGGAAAGGAGAATGATGTAAGCCGCACTGGGTCCTCATCAGAACACCACTGAGAGAACAGTGGCTTGCCCAAGGTCATCCAGAAGCTGCAAGTGGAGGAGTGGGGAAATGAAACCTGGTTTTCTCAGATTAGAATCTGTGCTCCTAGGCACTGCACCAAACTGGCTCAAATCAGTTCCCCTGGAGAAAATGGCTGCTTTGGAGGGTGGGAAGTATGGCATCGTACCTTGATGAGATCCCTCCCCTCCTGAAAGCCCATCTTCCCCAGGATTCATCGTCCAAATCTCCAGGTACTTCCCAACCCAGAGTGGACAGCCCTAACCCTCCCCCATCTCGGGTCCGAAGATCTCCCTGTCCATAGCAAGTCTTCTTCCACTCGTATCCTTAACATTCCATGGAGACCTTCCAAATTCAGTTCAGTTTCTTTTAGCCCACGGGCTAGCCTCCATCTGAGAAAGATTGAAGGTCAAAGAAGACGGGGACGGCAAAGGATGAGATGGTTAGACAGTGTCATAGAGGCAACGAACATGAAGTTGAGCCAACTTCAGAGGATGGCGGAAGACAGGAAGGCCTGGCGGGATCTGGTCCATGGGGTCCCGAAGAGTCAGCCTCGACTGTGCGACTGAACAACAACAAGCCTCCATTTTAGTGAAGGAGGTTTCTCTAAAGACCGCGTGAGAGCTCTGACCTGGAGGAGGGGCTGCGTGAGAAAAGAGACACTGATAATAAACACGGGGCTTTCCACTGAGCATCAGAAGATGGCAGAGGAAACAGTTCCCACTGTGCATAAAGCAAACAAATCAAACAGAGCAAATTTCTTAATGGAATGAAAACAAACCTCCGTAATTAAAAAGAACGGCAAGGCCGCTGGAGTTCCCGAAGAACGGCGCAATGTCCTAAGTGCCTGTTTCGCCCCCCACCCTTTGTCGTATTCCTCATCAAAAAAGAGTCTTAATTAGTGTAATAACAGCTGGGGAAAGTAGGCAAAATCAATTCCATGGCTTGTCTATTTATAAAATATATTAAAATCTGCCTTCAGTTCTTAAAGGAAAACAACAAATAGACTACTGCGTCCTACTGTAAAGCCAACATTATTTCCTATCGAAAAAATCAAAGTCATTATTGTCTATTCAGAGGGTTGCAGTTCTAGCTCACCTCCTCGAGGTGCACCCTGAATAGTGCTAAAGAGCTAGAACTTCTGGCTGCCAGTCAATTGCAGGATATCCTGGCTACACTACACACATGGAATCAATCAATCAATCAATCAATCAAAGGGAGATTTCCCACAAGCACTGCTCCGTGCTCACTCCTCCCTTTTGCCCCATGGTACGTGTCAATTTCACACCAGCTGCTGTGTGGTCGCATTTTGCCCCGCAGTTTCAATAGGATTGAGTAGACACGGGGAAAATAATGCGAAGCTGCGGGGCAAAATGCGGCAGGGCAGCAGCTTGTGTGAAATTGACACGTACCATCGGGGCAAAAGGGAAGAGCGAGCGTGGAGCAGCGCTTTTGGGAAATCGGTCAGATGCTGTTACAACCAGGGAAAAATGCAAGGTATTGTGTCCTGAGTAGAACTCTGATAAAACCAGGGATGAGATCCAAGAGCGGAAAGGATAACCTGGATGTAGATTCTAGAACAGGTAAATGGCAACTGGGCAGCCTGGCTGATGTAACTTTAAACTTTGGGAGTCGTTTAAGTAAGGTTGCCGGCTCTGGGTTGGGAAATACCTGGAGAATTGGAGGGGTGCAGATTGGGGAGGGTGGGGTTTGGGGAGGGAAGGAACCTCAAAGGGTCAAATGCCACAGAGTCCACCCTATGAAGCAGCTATTTTTTCCAGAGGAACTGATATCTGCCATCTGGAGATCAGTTATAAGGGCAGACTGCCAGGTCCCACCTGGGAGGTTGGCCATGCATCCCTGAATTCAACTGAAGAAGTGAGCAGTGACTCGAGAAAGCTCCTGCCTTGCCACATATTTTGTGAGTCTTTAAGATGCTGATGGACTCTTGCTCTTTTCTACTGCTACAGGCAGACTAACAGGCAGGGGTCATTTCCTGCAGGAGCGCACAGGAGCGGAGCTCCGGCAGTAAAGAGCCCAGGGGGCGGGCACATGCAACAAGCCCCACCCCCTGCTCCCAGCAGCCCTCAGTCAGAGCAAGAAGCAGCCAGGTAAGTCGCAGAGCTCCCCCTGGCCCCCGGCCCAAAGCAGTCCAGTGGCACCTTTAAGACCAAGTTTTATTCAGGTACAAGCTCTCCCTCCTCTGTGAGGACAGATCTGCACATCCCCCCCCCCCCAATAGCTAGCAATCCAAAACAGTCCAGTGGAGCCTGAGCGGTGGGTGTTGCCTTCTGACACACTTCCGGTGGTTTCAGGGGGTGTGGCATATGCAAACAAGTTATGCTAATGAGTTATGCTAATGAGCTCCTGCACCTCTTTTTCTACGAAATGACCCCTGCTAACAGGGCTACCCATCTTGATCTCAATTCAACTTATTTGGTTGCCTCAAACTAGGCACACCCATTCTCTCTTGAACACAAGAAGCAGCCTTGTACTGTCTCAGATACAGTATTGTCTGACCATCATGGAAATTTTCCTCCAAAAGAACTGTAGAATCAACCAGACCTTGATTTGTCAGAACTCTTTTGCTTCTGAGCAGGGGTCATTTGGTAGAAAAAGAGGTGCAGGAGCTTATTATCATAACTCATTAGCATAATTCATTTGTCACGTCCCCTGACGTCACCAGAAGTGTGTGCAGCACCCACCACTCAGGCTCCACTGGACTGTTTTGGATTGCTAGCTATTGGGGGGAGGGGATGTGCAGATCTGTCCTCGCAGAGGAGGGAGAGCTTGTACCTGAATAAAATTTGGTCTTAAAGGTGCCACTGGACTGTTTTGGACCGGGGAGCTGGGGGGGGGCCCGGCTCTGCAACTTACCTGGCTGCTTCTTGCTCTGACTGAGAGCTGCTGGGAGCAGGGGGCGGGGCTTGTTGCATGTGCCCACCCCCTGGGCTCTTTACTGCTCCGCTCCTGTGTGCTCCTGCAGGAAATGACCCCTGCTTCTGAGTATCCTGGTAAGATGTAACTCTTATCTAAATCTGATGTATTTGGTAGCCCCAAACAAGGTACACCCATTGTCTTTTGAGCACTTGAAGCAGCTTTGTACTGAGTCAGACACAGTATTGTCTGACTAGCATAGTGTTGCCTACTCTACTGGCAGCAGCTCTCTGGGTTCCCAGGATGAGTTCTTATATATTGTCTACTACCTGATTCTTTTCTTAAACTGAAGAGGCCAGGGACTGAATCTGCATGCAAAACAGATGTTGTACCATAGAATCACAGAATCATAGAGTTGGAAGGGGCCATGCAGACCATCTAGTCCAACCCCCTGCCCAATGCAGGACCAGCCAAAGCAGAGGCTCCAACACTGAGCCACAGTCCCTCTCCATGGTCCTCCAGGGTCTCCGGTGGAGGTCTTTCACATCACCTACTGCCTGGTCCTTTATACTTGAAGATGCCAGGGATTGAACCTGTGACCTACTACATGCAAAGCAGAGACTCTGCCATTGAGCCACGGTCCACTGAGCTGTTGCCCCTCCCCATTCTATGCAATTGCCTTATGTTGAGTCAAACCATTTGTCTAGCAAGGCTAGCATTGTCTACTATGGTAGCAGCTCTGCACTGTCTCAGGCCGAGGTCTTCTACATCACCCCCTACCTGATTCTGTAATCTAGAGACACCAGGGATTGAAACTGGGACCTTCTGCGTGCAAGGCAGATGCTCTACCACTGAGCCATGGCTCATAGCTGATGTGGGAAATAGTGCCACAAACAGAATGGACAGGAAGAGCCAAATAGACCTGTTATTTTCTCCTGTAATAAGTTTGCAGCTAAGGTTGCCAGCCCTCTGCCCTCAACCACTGGGAGCTTTGGGGGGCAGGGCACAGGAAGGGTAAGTGTCAATCAAGATTGCTATCACAACACTCTAGGAATCCCCCAAAATTCTATAATAAAACCATAGAGTCTCAGGGATTTCCTAGAGTACCATGATGTCACTTCTGGGTTTACCCAGAACATCACTTTTCACTCCTCCCTCTCTCTCTCTCTCTCTCTCTCTCTCTCTCTCTCTCTCTCTCTCGGCGGAATCTGCATTTGTCTTTCCCACCAGTGTCCCAGCCTTTTGACTCCTTCAAAACCCCTCTTATATATATAAAGTAAAAGGTTTCCCTTGCTTGAAAGCCAGTCAATCCGACTCTGGGGGCAGTGCTCATCTCTGTTTCCAAGCTGAAGAGCCAGCATTGTCCAAAAATGTTTTCCATGGTCATGTGACCGGTATGACAAAATGCCAAGGTGCGTGGAATGCTGTTACCTTCCCACCAAAGTGGTACCTATTTATTTACTTACAATTTCTTGTTTGGCAGCTAGGTTGGCAGGAGCTGGGGCTAGAGACAGGAGCTCACTCTATCACACAGTGCTAAGGTCTCGAACTGCTGAGCTACTGATCTTCTATCTATCTATCTATCTATCTATCTATCTATCTATCTATCTATCTATCTATCTAGGCTCAGACAATATTTCCTCCGCTTCTGCATTCTGTAGACCAGAAGCCAAAATTAGAAACAAACAAAAGTATTCCCTGGCTTCAGCCAATCTGTCCTATACTCATTGTTGCTTAAGAGTGTCAGTTCAGTAATAAATGCTGTCAGAAGGATTCACACGTCTGCCGCTGAACACCCCTTTTCAATCAGACCTCCAGGGAAGGTTCCGGTACCCAAACTAAAAACACCCCCTTTCAATCAAACCTTCAGGGAAGATTCTGGTACCCAAACTAAAAACCTATAAAAGCTTGTATCACCTTAGCCAATGATGGTGCACGAAACAGGAGAGGAACAAAATCAGTCCCTTGAGTTTCCTGAATAATCCCCCACAAAGCTTTGGGAACCAATTTCTGCAAATGACAAGCAACTAGTCAGAAAATTTCCACCAAAAGAATTGTAGAATCGCCCAGCCCCTTGATTTGTCAGTAATCTTTTGCTTGTGGGTATCCTGGTAAGAAGTAACTTGGGTAACGGATTTATTCTGACACAGGCTAGACTATGATTTAAGGTGTCAGTCTGTAAAATATGAACAGTTCACAGATTTATTCTGTGCCCCAGTGAACATCTTGATCGATCACCGACATTATGAGATGGCTTTTGTATATTAAAATTGCATGCATCAAGGTTGTGCTGTTGCGCTTGGGAAGACTTAAATTAACGGAACTCTTTTCAACAGTGCTGTGGGTTTGTATGAAAGTGAAAGTCAGTGTAAAAATAGAGTCCAAAAACCCATGGTTTAACTCAGCCTTATGTACAAAAGATATATTCGTGGGGGGTAAAATATTTTTGAAGGAGAAGAGGAGGAGGGGGAGACTAGATTTACACTTTGCTTTTTGCTACCTGAAGGAGTCTCAGAGCGGCTTACAATCCCCTTTCCCTTCCCCTCCCCACAACAGACACCCTGTGAGGTAGGTGGGGTTGAGAGAGCTCTTTTGAGAACTGCCCTTGAGAGAACAGCTCTGAAAGTACTTGTGACTGACCCAAGGTCATACCAGCAGCTGCATGTGGAGGAGTGGGGAATCAAACCCGGTTCTCCCAGATTAGAGTCCATGCTCTTGACCACTACACCAAACTAGAGGGAATGAAAACTGCAAGATGAGACATTTACTTGGTCTGTGATGATATTATTTTATTATTTATTTATTTACATTATTTTAGTCTCCCTTTCTTACAGGGACTTGAGTGGATTACGCAGAGTGAGCCAGTGCAGTCACAAAAAAATGGGACATTCAATAACCAGTTCATTAGGATTTTAAATGTCTGGAACCACCAGAAATAACTGAAGCATAACATAAGAATTCACATGACACAGTAAGCGGTACAGAAATGACATAAATAGGATCCAGTTTGTGGAAGATGAAGAAGAAGAAGAACCCTTCCCCTCCCCACAACAGACACCCTATGAGGTAGGTGGGGCTGAGAGAGCTCTGACAGAATCTGCTCCTTTTCAAGAACAGCTCTTATCAGAACTACTGCTTGCCCAAGGTCATCCAGCCAGGTGCAAGTGGAGGAGTGGGGAATCAAACCCGGTTCTCCCAGATTAGAGTCCACACGCGCACTTAACCACTACACCAAACTGGCTTTTGTTGTCCAAGACTTTATTTGTACAGGGTTTTTTTGGTGGTTTACAAACTTGCATATGCATATATATACATATGCATATGTAGGGGCTGTGGTGGCTCAGATGTTAAGATGCCGAGCTGCAGACCAGAAGGTCTGTAGTTCAGCAGCTCAAGACCCTAGTGTTGTGTGATGGAGTGAGCTCCCTTCTTTGGCCCCAGCTCCTGCCAACCTAGTGGTTCGGAAGCAAGAATTTGCAAGTAGGTGAATAGGTACCACTTCAGTGGGAAGGTAACAGCGTTCCATGCACCTCGGTGTTTAGTCATGCCAGCACCTCTTTTTCTACGAAAAAGAAACATCTTCGGACAGTGCTGGCTCTTCGGCTTAGAGTCGGATTGGACTGGCTTTCAAGCAAGGGAAACCTCTACCTTTACTATGTGCTGTAGATCCATTTGTGGTTGACCACCTGGCTGTTGGCAACCCTAATCCCACCCCACCCCATAAGGGCTGTATGAAAGAACCGAAGCACAGTCAGCTTCTCTCTGCATTCCAGCACATATTAAAGACACTTGGCAGAAACATCTGAACACAGTTTGGCTGATACCCAACCTGTCAGCGCGGCTCTAATTTCGTTCAGGGATCGGATCACCCAGGTTTTCCGACAGGACCGCAGCCAGGAGTTTCCTACCGACTATTCCTATATGGCCCCACACAAGCCCCCTTTTATTTGACTTCTTATAAGCGGTTTTTAATTTTCCCGGTCTGCAATTAAAGGCTTTAGCGGTCTTGTTTGCTGTTCCACCATTCTATCAGCAGCCTAATCTGGGTTTGGAGAGCCAAGTCAAACACTGTCTTTTATGAAAGCAAATGAGAAATTTTAATTACATTTCCCCGTTAACCTTGCCCTGGTTCTCTTGGCTATTGTCTGCTAATTCTATTTTCTGCAAGCAAATCTTGACTCAGGGTTCCTCGCGTCCCTTCGGACTGAGCGGTGAAGTGGTTGGCTGCCAGGAAGAAGGAAGGCCCGGAATACATATTGGATCTCATAACTCTTCCGCTGTCCATTAATGGACCCTGGCGAGGCTCTGAAGACCCTCTCCTCCCTTGGCAAGACACTGACTGCAATCCTAAGGGCACGGCCCTGCAATTCAAACCACACTGAGGCCCGCTTAGGTCTCCCCAAGCACTTCGGTCTTCCCGTAGTCACTCAGATATCAGTGGAATGGCTCCTGTTTGCATTCACAAATATTTGGACACTTCTGATGGTGATATTAGATTAGGGTGTTGAGGAGCTGCGGTGGCCCAAGCGGTTAAGACGCTGAACTGCAGGCTGTGGAAGGTTGGTAGTTCAGCAGTTCGAGACCCGAGTGTGCCGCATGACGGAGTGAGCTCCCGTCTCTAGTTCCAGCTCCTGCCAACCTAGCAGTTCGAAAGCAAGAAATGTAAGTAGATAAATAGGTACCACTTTGGTGGGAAGGGAACAGCGTTCCGTGCGCCTTGGTGTTTAGTCATGCCGGCCACATGACCACGGAAACGTCTTCGGACAGCGCTGGCTCTTTGGCTTGGAAACGGAGATGAGCACCGCAACCCTAGAGTCGGACTCGACTGGCTTTCGAGCAAGGGAAGCCTTTACCTTTACCATTCCCCAGGAGGGAATTCCCCCACCCCCAAAACAGCAACGTCATGTGCGACGCACTGACTCCACCTGGAAGTGACATAGGTGAGTTGGTGACGTTGGGGGGGGGGGGGGGGGGATGCTCTGGTTTGGGGGAAAAACTCTATGGTTTAAGGGCGATTTTACCATCGTTTTGCCCAAAAAACCAGAGTGTCACCCCGGCATCACCAGTGTGCCTATGTCACTTCCAGGTGATGTATGCATGTCATGCAACATCCCCGCCCACTCCAGGAAACCCCACCCCCAATCCCTCCACCGGCACAATGATTGGACCTGGCAACCCTGTATTAGATACTGTGATATTAGATATTGTGTGTGTGTGTGTGTGTGCGTATGTGCCAGCAAGTCACTTCTGACTTATGGCGTCTCTATGAATTAACGACCTCCAAAATGCCCTCTCGTTAACAGCCTTGCTCAGGTCTTGCAAACTAAAGGCCCCGGCTTCCTTGATTGAGTCAATCCATCTCACTTTGGGTCTTCCTCTTTTCCTGCCATCTTTTCCAGTGAAACTGGTCTTCTCATAATGTCACCAAAGTACAATAGCCTCAGTTTAGTCATTTTAGCATAATTGTAATATTAAATTCATTAGTTTAGGTCTAATGAGATTCTTCTCCCTTAATCAAAAGCTTATACTCCCAAAATCTTGTTGGTCTCTAAATTGTTCCTGGAGCCAGTTTGGTGTAGTGGTTAAGAGCAGCAGACTGTAATCTGGAGAGCCAGATTTGATTCCCCACTCCTCCACATAAAGCCAGCTGGGTGACCTTGGGTCAGTCACAAGTTCTCTCAGGAGCAGTCTTCGAAAGAGCTCTCTCAGCAACATTTACTTCACTGGAAGTCTGATGTGGGGAGAGGAAGGGAGATTGTAAGCCACTGTTAGACTCCGACTCTTCTCCTTAGTGACAAATATAATTATCATAATTAGTAATTAATAAATAATAATAATAATCATCTTTCAATTTATTAAACACTCA